CACGTTTTCTTTTCGCCAAACGGATAAAAATGTGTCCGTCCCCCGTTCGATCAGCAGCAGTCCCACTCTAGACGACGTCAACGCCCGCGGATTTCGGAAACGGACTTCCGCACCAGCAGCCCGTTAACCCGTCCAAACGCTGCGTAGGTATATCATATACAACGACAATAATACGATCTACACGTTTCGTTTATATTATTATGTGTTTTTATTTTAAATTCTAAATTCTATTGTTATAATAACGATAATGATATAGGTAATAGATATAATATACAATGACACAATCAAAAATCATAATTATAATATTGTTGTGTTATACGTTCGCATTACGCAAGGCACTATAATAATATGATATTAAGTCTATGTAATCGCGTTTTTTATTGATCGGTGTAATATTGTGATGTTGTAAACGAATAATAATTGTAATGATGAATATAATGTTTTTAGCATAATATAGATAATAAAAATCTTTATTGTCTACCTATGGTTTTTGCGGATCTATAGTTTTATTATATTATTAAGTTAATACGACACGACGTGTTTTCGTTCGCTCACGCACTCGCACACTCAAGTATGTTGTTGTAATTAATCTTATTATTTCGCCAGTATAGTCTATATAAATAAGTAGGTATATTAAACATTTTATATACACGGCTTTTAATCTATTTATTTTTTGGGTTGTGGGAGGGGTAGTAGTTTATACAAATAATAATTATAAATCAATATCACAAAATAAAATAAATAAATAATAAGACCGCCAAACGAGGTGAGAGGAACGGTTTCTAAAAATAACTTTACACGATAAAAAATATAATAATATAATAGGTAAGTGTATATTATAATATAATATGTACATAAATAATATTACAAAACGAGAACTTGGTCTGTTAAAAGATGATTAATTATAAAATAATAATAATAATAATAATAATAATAATAGAAATAAAAAGCGAGACTAGTTTTAGAAAATATAATAATAATAATAATAATAAAAATAATAAAGATAGTGATCGACTCGGAGAGTCTTTATTCATAAAAAAAAAAATTATATATATAACTTGTGTATATGTGGTCATAATTTAGGTCTATATTATCATATGTCGTGGGGTGAAGTTAAACCTCCCTACGCTGTACAAATAAGTGATCACGCACGACAGATATATTATATACCATGGTTATGGTTAGAGGCTAAGGGTGTGTGTGTGTGTATGGTGTGAAAAGTGGCGGACTGCGTCCCTACGAGAAATGGTCGCAGAGCATCAATAAAGATGTATTGTCATCGACTTACTATACGGTTGAGCGTTTTTTATACAATTATATCATACCTGTACAGTGTACACACGTAATAATATTATAATATCTTAGTGTAGGTAATACTAGGTAAATGGTATGATAATATATCATAAATAATTACAATTATATAAACATTTTTCTCTCTCTCTCTATATATATATATATATATAATATAATAATGTAATAATATAGTAGGT